CAGTCTTCAATGGACGGATGGATGGTTTGTTTTTAGGTATTTATAAAACGACTTAACGCATCTCAAAAAATGGAACAGACGTAAAACAAAGACTGAAAGAAAATTAATTACATACTTAAATTCTGCACGATCGAAATTAGGGGTCAAAAAATAAGTAAATAAAGTATATTTAAACTGCAGAAGCCCTACATTCAAAAACATACAAGTTTCAGTTGAATAACGTTGTATGAAGGTGACATAAATTGGTATCTTTAAGTTACCTTTATGTACAGGATCAGGTCCCTCGGTGATGAAGAGCACCAGATTGGGGTTGTTGTACTTGTAGAGCACGCTGCGGTCGTAGAGCGCGCGGCCCGGCGAGTGCGTGCGCTGCGAGCGGCGCGCCGCCACACTCACGATGCGATGACCATTACTGCCTAGATCTAAAGACCAGATCTTCTGGGCTATCGCTGTCTGGAATATAACAATTTAAAATGTCAATTAGTATACATGATAATTATCTTGGGACTGTAGATACAGTGGCTTCCTTTTGTCAATACCTAATGTTAAGAAAATCAGCGCAACACTAGAAACACGTCCCATCCCTATCACATCCGTCAATGTCATTAAGACGTATTAGGAATAAGCGCGCCATTCTAACGGGATCATAGATTAAAGAATAGACATTTAAGTTGTCTTACAATTACAATTATTAATTTAAACATTTACAATGATATTAATGTCTAAAACTAGTTGATATAGGCACTAAATTAAAAGACTTGACTAGTACAGTACATAGTACAATGCGTTATGATAAATCCAAAATGGCTGCCGTCACAAACTACTGACATACTTTTGTACAACCGCAGAATGGGTATTAAATGAGAACGTTTGACAAGCAGAATTTAGTACTTTATTTTAAATACGAAATGGCTGTTGAGTGCAAAATACAACCTCTTTGGCTGACAAGCAGTATTTATATAGCCAAAGAGGTTGCATACTGGCCACCAAGGCAATAATCGTTTGTAAAAGTAAAAAAAAAAGAAGAAGTACATGTGATCGACATAGTTTGGGAGTTTTAAGTTTTTTGTATATTTTTTGTGTAAATAAGTTTTAAATATAGACATGTTTGTTTTATAATAAGTGTTTTGTATTTTTGGCTACCGCGCTGTCGGTAACAAGTTAAACAATGGCCGCCATTAAATAACGGTCGGTAGGAATTGAAAAGCTAACAATTCACTTACTACCTAAAGTATAGTATGTTTTAAAATAAAAAAACTAACAAGCAAATATTAGTACAAATTTAGCCTATTCAGTTTATTCCTAAGTTTAACTTTATACCGCGTTTATTTGTAAGGCTGTAATTATTTATAACTTACTCTGCCGTTGTATTTCAGTGCATATCCTTGTACTTTAGCAGTTTCTGCCTCCGCCACATACAGGTACATATCATCTACCAGTGGTTCTGATGATTTTGGGAAAACCTGTACAAAATGTATAGTCGATTTAAATGCAAATACGATATTTTATTTACACATGTCACTGGTTAACAATAATTTAATGTTTATGAATTTACTTGGGAACGACTCTGTATTTAAATGGGTGATACAAAGATGTCTGTTTTTAAGAAGTCTGTGATCATAGCATTATAAAAACATAGATAGATCTTACTAATATTATAAATGCCAAAGTTTAGATAGATAAAATTGGGCACAGACAGAACATGGACAAGAAAAACTAAAAGTCTTATTAAGTTTTTTTTTTAATTCTATGCCTACTGAGTCGCGGGCAAAAGCTTGTTAAAATTTCTCATTTGAATTTAATTCTACTATAGTTTGCTTTGTTAAAAAGTATAAAAACATGAACATTAATGTTACAACACAACTTGGTAATATAGACCGGATGCTATACCCTATCATCACCCACCTGTACTGACTCATCATCATAGAGCACCACCAGGCCGTGCAGCTTCTCCTCGTCAGGGCGATGCAGCAGCGCGCTCTGCAGCAGGCGGCCGCCCAGCTGCAGCACGCGCTCGCCCAACAACTCGCCAGTTATCGGGTTCACGCTGATCAGCACTCCGTTACCTGACTCCTGGAATTATCTTTAGTATAGAACTAGCTGTTCCCGTGCGGCTTCATCCGCATCAAATCATGAAAATTTTATTTTATTGTTACATGTCGAATTATCAATAGCAAATGTCAAATTGGCAATCTTGCTTCCTTGATGTTGGCAGCAACTTATGGTCTCTTTCCCACATTAGGGTTTTTGTCCAAAATGTTTACCTCCAAAGTTTAATGGCGTGAAAATATATAGCCAAAAACGTGACGTAAATGTAGGGCTTTTTATTAAAGAAATAATTATTCAAAAATATGCTGTATTTGCTGACATCTTAGGCAACAAAGAAGTGTGTGTTTACGCTTTATTATAATAGTATAGAGTATAGATCAATTAAAATTAAACTCATATGAGAAGGATTACAGCGGGATTGTATGATGATACATGCACTTAGAGGAAAATCATATCATTTTACTAATATTATAAACGCAGTTTTAGATGGACGGATGTTTGTTAAAAGGTATCTCCAGAACAGATCACCGGATCTCGATGTAATATAGCACAGGAACACATAATCTACTTATAGACTATTTTTTAATACAGCACGGACTAAGTCACGCTTTAAATTGCAAATTTCATTAAAATTTGACGTAGTATTTCTAATTCATTTCAGAATTCGGCCGACTATTTAAGTTTATTTTTTTAAATTCCACGAAGACAAAAACCAGCCATTCATTGACTCATTGACTATAACTTGATTGTTTCTAATAAATTCACACTAAGGGTAGTATCGGCAACTGTGAGTGCATCTTACCTGATGTTTGCCGACAATAGTGAGGTAAGCGTCGTACGGCGGATGCCGCGCGCTGCGCCGCGAGAACACTGACACCGCCTCCGTGTCCAACGAGCTCTCGAAACGATGCCATAATATCTCTCCAGACAAATTATCTATTCCGAATATCTAGAAAAACATATTATATATATGCGAAAGTAATGTTTCAAGGTATCTTTGAAATTGCTAAACGAATCTGGATGAAATTGGACAGTAGAGGATAATCTGGAAGAACGCAGACCATTACGTTTTTTTTTTGTTTAATTCCGAACTGGCCGAGTATAAAAGAGTATTTAAAACTGTATGTTATATGAGTATGTTAGTTATATAACTGTATGAGTATTAAAAAGTATAAAAGATATATTTAAAACTGTTTCGCGGTAAAAATCGTATAACGTAGAGACAAATTGAACAATATGTACCAAAAACATGCAATTACAACCAACAGTTTAAAGGGAATATGTTCAATTTTCTCTTCCTACTCTTTTCCATATGGAAGGTCAGTATATTTCTACTCTTACATATATTTCTAATAGTTGTGAGAACGTAATCATTACAACATTGAGAAAATTTGTATGATATATGTCTGGTCTCCTGCACAAATATGATACAAATTTCGTTACAATATTATTATTTCTTCAAATATTCATAATAAACCCTCGATTTCTAACTCACCTTTCCAACTTCAGTCACCAGCACTATAACTTTATGCAGGTTGAAGTAATCCCGGACCAGGTCCTCAGTGCTGGAGTGCACCACGTCCCTGTCAGATTGTAAACTGACGAGCAGCGTCTGCAGCTGCTGATACTGGCTGTGCAGGCGACGAGAGAACGCTGCCCAGATTGAACCTGTACATTTACTTCACTTTACATATCATTCTATATAAACAGTATATATGTACAACTAATTGTATATATACGTCGTATCTACAAATCACGTAACGTATATCAAATATATATAGCTTTGCAGAGCAATTGCTCGCGACTTCGTCCGCGTGAAATTAAAAAAAAATAAAAACATAGCCAATGTTACTCAGTGATAACATAGCTTTTAAAAGGTGCCAGAATTTTTTAAATCAGTCCAGTAGTTTTTGAGTTATTTCAATAACGAAAATCCAAAAATACTTTCTTACTTTTCTCTTTATAACATAAAAAGATATGCATTTCAATACAAACAAAATACACAAACACAAACTATATTCCATTCTAAAAAACTAATTTAAAATATAAAAATTCAGTACTTTTGTATTCTGAATTAGATAAAAATGCAGGCCAAGGTGCGATATTAAAGAAAATAGGGAAACACATAAATATGAAATAAACTTATTATGTATAGAAAAATGTCCACTAAGGAGAAAAAGACAAAGGATAATAGAAGTTTTGAACAAACTTTTATGAAATAAAAGAAATACTAGTAATCTAGTAAAAAAAAGCTCAAGATGAATCAACAAAAATATTAACCGAACACATGCTATCAAACAAAAATGTTTCCGAAGTAAAAAATGGTAAAACCACAAAAGCATTGTACAAAACTAGCTGGAAATTTGTCATTGCAGAGTTTTAACATCTAGCAATACTTACTGTACATCTTGGCAGCTAGAAAACAATATATAAATCAATAATTTTGAAATATGGCCAAAAAGGTTACATCACCGCTAACTGTTTAAAAAGGCATGATTTATGTAGGACTTGATCTTCCAGAATATCCTCTACATCTATGCTAAATTTTACCGATATCCGTTCAGCCACTTAGGCTACAAACTCTATCAAAAATCCATCTAAACTTTCGCATTTAAAATATTAGTAAGATAACCATACAAACTTCAAATATACATTATTTTCTTGCAATTTCTTTTCTTTCATGATAATTTGTTTTTTAGGGTTAAAGTTAAAATTTTGTTGAAACTAAAGAGTTTCAAAAATATATAGAGTAGGCATAGTTGACACTTCATTTGAAACACTCTTCACATAATCTCACTAACACTATTTTATTACAATGTTTAGTTTATTTAATAATAAAAGATGAAACTGATAATAATTTTGTATAATGTATTTTACACGTTTTGACAACTGATATAGCACCTTTCAAAGTATCAGTAAAAAAAATTTGTTTACTATGCCATGTCTACACATATCTTAAATGTCTTTGGTTAAAAGACAATGAATATAAGTTATACATATAAAAAACCATGTAATACCTTCTTTGTGGTCAAATTCTGATTCTATAGCAGCGTCAGTATCAGAGACAGGCAGGTCCACGAACTCCGCGGCCACCACGTTAGCCAGCGCCTCCTCGCGGCTCCACAATACTCTACCTGGATATTATATAAGAAGCTTTTCAATTTAATTCCGGTAAAAAACACGTCAAAATCGGCCTAGCTGTTTCAGAACACGCAAAAGACAAAAATATTTAGGGCCTGTCCCAACACTGGCTGATATATGCTCAGATAGCTTAAAAATGACGTAACTGTCTGATAAGGTAACAAATTCCGATATTTCCATCACATATTTTAAATGTTGGAATGTTATCAGAAAATTTACAATTTGGTGGGATAGTCACTTAAGATTCTATTTTTGTTATCGGCAACAAATACATGTTCATGTCTTCTTAAATGCAGATGCTACAATTTTAATATGCACGTAAATTACAAATTTGCTTTGAAATGCAATAACACTTTAAAGTTTGATAGAAAATTAATTTAATGCTTCATTAGTTATCGAGTTTAAATGACCATAGTATAAATAAAAACCAATAGAAGACATTTTTAAGTTACAAAAAATTTGAAAAATGTTACATGATCTAATAGTAAGAAATTCAAGATTTGCAGACAATGGCTTTAATAATAAAAAAAGCTAACCTCCTTGCTGCATTAAGTGTATAGCATCATCAGCGCCATTAACAACTATCCTGCAGGCTTGGTCATTCCCTGTCTTAGTGCAGAATACAGCTCCCAGCTCCGGCTCTGGGATGCGGAGATTATGGTCCAGGCATTTGATCTCCGGCACTTCTTTACCAGTGCTTAAACTATGAGCTGATAATTTGAAACCCTGAAAATAAAGGAATATAGTAGTTGAAAACATGTTACTTTTGTTAATTATCAAAAGGAGAAAAAATAATTAATTATTCCTAATAAACTACATATAGAAAATTCTCAAATATAGTAGTTAATTTTAGAATTTTTGTGTAATAAGATTAATTTATTAACTTTACGCCACTAAAAATTGTCACTAAAATGAATTTCTGTATTAAATTTTACAAATCATATAAAGACACAAAAGATTTGTAACTAATTTCTACCGATTTGTGACAATTTATTTAAAAATATAACTTACCAGATCATCTGTCCAAACTTGTAAAACCATCAGTCCATTTGGTCCATCAATTATAGTTAAACTTGCTGTTACATCTGCTATATTAACATTCAACGCTTCAAAATTGTTATTCTTAACAATTACAATTTTCTTATCATCGATAATAAAAGCGGGTATTACACTATTTCCATCCAAAGGTTTCAGATTTCCTTCAAATACATCCAAACTGAGATAATCGAACAACGGTTGGGATATAAGCTGCACTGTTTTTGATGTGACATCTATAGAAAGTAAGCGTTGAGCTCCCATGTTGCCTGATATACAACTGTAGTACGGAGGACTTAGTACACATCTGAAATTAAATAAAGAGACTCTTAACATACATGCATACAAAATGAAGAAGAAAAAAATAAATTCAACAAGTATTAAACAAAATAATAAAAGTATTTTATCAAGAAATTAAAGAAAACAGAATTCAAGAAATGTAACAGGAACAGGAAATGAAGGAGGCCTGTACCAACAGGGGGAGAGACATCCCATACTTTTTTATGTATTTAAAATATGTAAACTATATCTTACTAATATTATAAATGCGAAACTTTAGATGGATGGACGGATGTTCGTTAGTGTTTGTAACCTAAACGGCTGAACGGATCTCCATAAAATTTGGCACAGGTTTAGAGCATAGTCTGGAAGAACACATAGGCTACTTTTTATCCCGGGAATAGTTACGGTTCCCGTGGGATTCATTAATTTGGTTTATCTTATATATCTTATTGAAATTTGGCACAGATATAAAACAAAGTCTGGAGTACACATGGGATTAGCTTCATCCCCGAGATATTTCGAGTTTCGTAGTTTTTTGTAATTTATATGGTTCGTATGTTTTCTAATACCAAGCGGACGAAGTTGTGGGCAACAGCTTGTGTATCATAAAATTGTCATGTCCATAAAAAGGCTAATAAATAAATAAATAGCTATTTACATTTCAAATGATGTATATAACTATTTATTTTGTATGTTATGTACAAACTACAGAGAAGCAGCTTCTCTTAATGATTTGGCAAAAGATGTAGTACTTAAAAGCAAAAACTATTAAAAGAATGCTTCTGCACAATATTTAACCTAACAGTTAGCATGTTTTCTAGATGATTGGGAAATAAAACAAATTATCACCTATACTAGTCTATGCTATCATCATAAAGAGGAATGATTTATATTTTTGTATTCCTGTATGTATTGAAGTAACTTAAAAACTACTGGGGACATTTCAAATATTTTTCCACTATTAAAAAACTACTATATCTGTGAGTGACATAGGCTATATTTTTTTTAATTTAACAATAGTTGTTTATAATAAACATGGCATCTTCAACATAAAATTTTATGACAAAACATACCCATCATTAACCCAAGCAGCGGGCAATTTGGATGAAGCACCTCGGTTTTGTCCCGTCATCAAGTTATACATTGTGACCTCAACATGTGAGTTGAATACCGGTAGCATGTGCACCAACAGGCCCTGGTGCACCCACCACTCGGAGAAGTCTGCACGGTCATCATCTTGAAGTGTCATAGACCATTCCCAAAGCAGTATACCTGAAACATTAACAAAATAAGTATAATAACAAATGAAATCTGATTAAAAGAAATAATTGTATAGGTTTCTATTTGAAAGAGAATCTTGTTTAATGTAATTATACAAATTGAAGTAAAATTTTATCTAAACAGATGTAGTATTTTTTTATAATGTATAAACACACTTTACTTTCATAATGTAAATAATGATTATGGACAACTCTAATGCAGTTATAATCTAACCAAGAATGTAAATATCATGACTTAGGGGCCATTCAAAAAGGCTTTCAACTTACTAATATGTACAAAGAAATGTATTATTTTGCAATTGCTAGGATAATACATGATAATATATTCGCTGTGGACGACGAAAACTTGGGGCGCCGATCCTACAGGAGTAGGATAATGCAGGGGAGATGATGATGCTAGGATAACATATGATCTGGCTATATTCCAATTTCTGTATTTAAATCATACCAGTAATTTCATTCCTTTGATTTAAGTTGTCCTTTTGTTATAAAACCCAGTAGTTAATATAATCTGTAATAATTTTTACCTGTAGTAGAATCCCATCCTCTAACAAGGTAAGGATTGGAGCCCGTCACCGTGACTACTTTGTCAGAGACATGCAACAATTGTATATTTCCTGTAGATGCACTCTCAAACACATGTCTCCACACCAACTCACCTGGAAGTTAAGTAATTACGATTGTAAAACTAGGTTATGTTAACTTAGATAACTAGAGAAATATACTCTTTTAAAAAAATGCATTACATAAAGCTTTATTATTAGATACTATACGTACAAATATTTACGACTTTTATTATGGGCTTGTTTTTTTACTTTAAACGATTTTATCTTATGCTTTAGTAGAATTAATATGAATAGTACACAATGTAGATGTTATAAACATTTAAATTAAATGAATATTGTTGACATTGATCATTTGTATGGATGAGCAAACGACCATCAAATTAATTAACTTACCAGTCTTCAAATGCAGGGCAGCTAGTACATTTTCCTCCGTAGCCACTATTAGCTTCCTAGCGGTTGAAACTGTATCAAACTGTGAAAACTTTATACGCCCAACGTAAGTCTGACGCCTGAAACACGATTACTTTGTTATTTACTGGACAAAACCGCTTGAGAACTCTTATGATGACTATAACCTATACTTGATATTTACCAATCAAATTTCCCTATTTGATCTTCATAAATGCACATTGAGAGATTTATCAAACTAAAAAATACAATATACCAATTCATACTGTTTAAAAATTTTAATAAACCCAAAAAATTGGGTTTGAAATAAATTGACAGCAGCCCCATTTCTGGATGACTGAAAAGTTTTCATTCACAGATAAAACCAATTTAAGTTCAAAAACACGTATCAAAATATTGCCAGTTAATGCCTTAGAAAACACCATGTTTATGAGTGAAAAATAATAAAAAAAAACGTAAAAAGTATAATAAAAAGTTCTGACAATATTTATGAAATTTCGACATGAGATGTATGACGAAAATGTGGATATTGATTTAGACCTTTATTTTTGAGAATTTCGTTACTTTCTATAAAGATACTAGATGGCGACAGTTGTTAGGACTAGCAAAAAACTTTGAGAAACAAAAATCTTAACTTTATTATTTAACACAATAACATATATTAAAGCTCGGAACCCAGAGGGGTAGACATAGATTACAGATTTCCATTTGGCACGGTCCTGCCACATTCTAACTTAGCCGCTAACTTTAAATAGATACTAAGGGCCAATTTCACTAATTCTTAGAGCCCGTATACATGGTACAATAGATTTCTTATTCATCCAAGCAAGAACCATTCCAGTCGATGGCGCCTGCATGCATTGGACGATATTCCTAACTTTATCTTACCACGCATTTTACTAATCAACTAAGTCCCCGCACTAACGATCATTTTCATTAGTTAGCCCTTATGCGGGGACTACATAACGACTACCCTAACAAACTGGTCGGACAAACCCATAAGTGCCAAATGACACATCTGGCATTCCCAACATTCTATAATAGTTAAAAACATGAATACATACGATAATATGTGCGGAATGTAACTGCGGTTAACCTAGGTGTGAAATATTATAAGTAGAAAATCTAGACTGGCCTATAATTATTATGAGTACTTACTTATTCTATTCAATTAAATTAAACGCACAAGTTGTCACAATTTATAATTAGGTACTTATCTTTCCATCACTTGTATTAAAAAATCTCAAGGCTATAAAATTGCTCTTTATCAGTCTCACAAATAGGTTATGTACACTATTTTTTTTTTCAATATTAAAGAAAATACAGAAACTCCAGTTTTATTGTATTTATAGACTAGGTTTCTTCCTTGACTCTGCCCGCGTGGAATTAAAAGAAAAAAACAAAAGAAATCAGCCTATAAGATCTTCCAAATTATCCTCTATGTCTATGCCAAATTTCACCGTGATCCGTTCAGCCATTTAGGCTACAAACATCAACAAACATGCATCCAACCAAGTAAACTTTCAGCATTTATAATAGTAGTCTGATTATATATAAATTGACCACATCATTTACGGTTAGATAAATTATTATGCACAATATTTGCATTATTCATTCTTAACATAACCTTATATTTTTATGTCCTAAAGTATTTTTTTTCGTTTTCGCACATTTTTCTGCACTTTTTTGTGCATATGGAAGTACAAAACACATGTCATTCGACACCTTTACTGGCCAACATTCCAAGCCGCGGGCGAGAAATAACTGCGTAATTTTTTTATCTTAGAAAATAAGACAAGTGATGTTTTAATTTCTTAAATATCTTTTTTTGAAGTAATTCAAGTTTTATGGTATGAATTAAGTTCAATTTATAGACCTATAGTAACTCATGAGAACATTTTTTTTGTAAAGAATTTCTCTTTAGTGCTTCAATAATAGTAAATAGTAGCATTGTAACTACTAGGTATACAAATGGTAATACAATAGGTCATTTTTAATCTTTTTAAACGACAAAAGTCTAGCATACGGCCGCCATTATGCACATCTGTACTGTACCAGCCAGTATGTGCACATTTTTTTTACTACACGTCGATCGCGTGACCAGTTCGACTTCCTTTAATTTTATCGAAAGGAATTTAACAAAAGGCTAGGCAAAGTAGTCATTCATGCGGACTAACGCGCAGCCGGCGACCGTTTCCTTCATAATGTAGCTAAACTACGCAGTTTTACCTCGGGAGACGCATAGTAAAAAAAAAGTGAGCGGAAGGCTAGTTATTAATAAAATCCAGTTATTATAAAGGCATTATAACTGGTATAAGGGCCGCGTGCTAGCCTAGACCGCTTTCACCGAGTCGGCCCAGGTGCAGACCTCGGTGTGCGCCGGCCGGCCTATGCATCCGGCGACGAATAAAGACCTTTTTTTCCACTATTTAAAAGAAATTTTTAATGTAACACGACGCCAGACTACTTTTTCGAGCTAGGTAAAAAGACCTAATGTAAGATAATATTCACACCTTTATTGCAAGATGGTAAGAGTTATTTGTTTAGATATGGCAATTTTATGTGTTCCAATATTTACAATGAAATAAAAATATAACTGCCACTGTTATCGCTCATAGAAAAATATTGTCATCCCGCTTATTTCTTTGAGAAAATAGAGATAAAAATGTGTGTTATGTTTTAATTTTTTTTTTTCGGCGTCTCTTCCTTGTAACGTGATTACAATGTAAGACACGAGTTTATTTTTATTGTAACTAATATATGAGTAACCAATTCATTGAAATAAAGGTGTGGAGGAAAATATAATACGAAACTGATAGCAACCGATTCATCGTAGTTATACACTCAAAGTGGAATTAACACCAAGTAAGTCCTACGTTATGTTGTATTTACCAATATAATTTGATTATCTATAACTACTTCGACTTCCTTGAAGAAAATACGGTAAAAAATAGAGAGAGGTCTTATGGTATTACATACTTTAATTGGTGATAATTTGAGGATGCCATAGTTCGACGAAGGATTTTCATATTTGTTGTTTCATAAATGTTTTTTATTATATAAGTAAGAGTCATCTAAGAAAAACGATTATGAAATATTTAAGATGAAATAAAAAAAAAAAAAGAAGATGAAGCGTCTGTAACCCTATCCGAGTACATCAGAGTGAAACCCCGAGTACAGACGCGGGTAATGTTTTAACCCGATACTAATAGTTGTGCATACGGCTTCCTACTTAACTAACCTCACTAGGATAAACGTGTTTACAAGACATGTAATGGAACTTCACTATTATCAAAGTTATTGGAATAAATAAATATAACCTCAATCTTTTTTACATCATTATTTAATGTTCAAATCTTATCACTTTAATTAAAACAAAAACTAGAAGTTATAAAACAACACAAAAAAATAACATAAATACGACTGTGTCACTAAAAGGTAGGCATACAGACTTTCATTTGGCGCCATCTTATTAAAATTAAACAGATAATAAAAAAAAATCTGCATAGATAGTGTAGGTAAATAAACGCCTCGTTCACTACTAAACATTTAATAACCATGTAATAGCTTAATAGTCTTAACCCACTCTCAATTAACTCTTAAACCATAAAAACTACTGCTTCACGTTTTTTAATGCAACGTAGTAACATAGATAAAAAACATTTTTTTTTTTAAATAGTTTATTATCTGTATCTTTCAACGATTTTTCTCAATAAATCTTTATAAAAAAAACTTTACATATGACAATAATAAAGAGCTAAAGAGGTCGATGCCACTTGAATCAGCTTTGACAGCACTCCACAATGTTGAGGACTTCACGTTCAGAAGATGGCGAAGAGAAAACGTGCCCGAACGCTGACCGTCTCATCTATTGTCTCTCAGCGCTATGAAAATTATGGAAAATCAAAGATTATCATTAGTTATTTGTTCGATTCAAAACATTATAATTAAACTAGCGTTAATTAGCACTTACAAATCATAGATGTATGAATTTGTATGAAGGACATGTCAAGATCGTACCAATTGGAAATTCGTAATCTGTCTTTAAATTATTTTCGTTGTAATTTAAGAAAAAATCTATAAGATCGACTATACCCTTATTTTTGGAATGGAATTAAAATGGTTTAACCCTATGTATATCACTCGTATACAGATTCTGTAAAAGGTTTGGAAGCGTTGCTGATGGGCTAGTGACATCTCGCGCTAGCTGACGATACTTGGCGGACCACATCCGGGCTGTGTTTCTGGGAGTCATCATCAAAACACCCGACTCATAAGCCTCGTGTAATAAAAACAAAAAGTTTGCCATGTTATAAATGTTTAAAATATAGTTTTTTTAACTACAAGGGAACTAAATACGCGTAAAGAATAAACTCAGACACAGAATACCTAATAATCTACTTATAAATTATTTACAACGCGTTGAAACGTCTTTGAATAGAACAACAGGTGTGCAGCGTTTTTTTCTACAACCATACGTCTATATTGCCAAATATAAATATTGACATCTCAGTTTTTTCAAAGATATAGAAAGGGAGAACTATATGTCAAGTGGCTGATAGTAATGTACAAATTGCGTGTTACAATAATGAAGCCTTAGAACAGTTCTGTCAGTACTATGTGGGTACTTTACTTGTAACATCTGCAGACTGCGTTTTTTTTAAATTCTTCATACGCTAGTTAAGTCCAACAATAAATAGACATATGACAGATAACTTTTACATTTCATTTTGTTTCTGACTAGCTGTTCCCATGCTACTTCATCCGCATAAAATTATAAAAATCTTATTTTATTGTTTACATGTATCAAATAATCAATTGCAAATGTCAAAATATCAATTACCTTACGTTATGGCAAATTTGCTTTCTTGATGTTGGCAGTAACTTATGGTCTCTTTTCCACATTAGGGTTTTTATCCAAAATACTAACTCCCTATGTTTAATGGTGTTAAAATATATAGCCTAAAGCTTGAAGTAAGTGTAGGGTGTAGGGATATGTTTTATTTGCTGACATCTTAGGCAACAAAGAAGTGTGTGTTTACGCTTTATTATAATAGTATAGATTAGTCTATTAACTTAAAATTCATTTAAAAAATAAGACTAATATAACGAATTAAACGCGAATTTGTGATGAAAATGACATAAATTTGAACGTTGCAACCATGTGTAATGTCTTGGGTGCGTTAAAATGCAGTACAAGGTGCGCGCGGTGCGAGAGGGAGGGGGATTCAAGCTTGTATTACGGCCGCATGTTCTCACAGCTCTAGGAGACCTAGGGCATTGCGACACATTGAAGTCTAGTCTAGACTGGTGTGAAATTCGCGCCGGCCGCAGCTTTCGCGGC